TGTCAAGCGCAATCTAGACGGATTTGCCCATTCTCCTTTCTGTAGTAGTTAACTACACCTAAGAAACGTTTAAGTTCGCTAACGCTTTTCGGTTCTGGTGCCTCGAGTATGGCTCGTACCTTCTCGGGACAAGTCTGCAAGCCATTCTTATTTATTACGTAACCTAAATAAGAACCGCTATTTTAAAAAAAATCGCATTTTTCTCGCTGCAGTCGTAATCCCGCTTCACCTAAACGACTTATGACTATTCTTAAACGCTCTAAATGAATCTTTTTATTAGGGGCCGTTAGACAAACGTCGTCTAACCAACAACTGACGCCCTCGATGCCAGAAAGCAGGATTTCCATGGATTTTTGGAAAATTGCTGGCGCGTTTGCGAAACCGTAAACTAAACGCGTATTTTTAACCCTTTTGGTGTATTTATTGTTGTGAGTTCTTGTGAGCTATCATCTAGTAAAAATTGATTATATGCATTTTTTAAATCTTACTTGCTATACTGCTGCCCTCCACCGAGTTTGGCAAATACCTTCTCTATTCGAGGTAAAGGATATTTATCCAGAACCAAATCTTTATTTAATGTAACGGAGAAATCGCCAGCGATTCTGACCGTACCATTTGCCTTAAGCACAGGCAATAGGTGTCGTATATTTTGAATGGTTAACTGGTACTAAAACGCCGAGTTTTACTAATCTTTCTAGTTCTTTTTCGACCCTATCTCTAAGTGCAAAAGGTATATATAGGTCGCGGTTTAAAAAATTTAGGCGCAGAATTTTCTTTAAGTTGTAATTTAACTTTAAATTTATTAAAAGTGCCTAATAGAATATTGTTCCAGCAACTTATCGAGTTCATTTTTATAATTATTATGTTCATTTTGACACAATATTATTCAAAGCTGAAATAGTGATAATCATGTTAAATGCTGCCATAAAATCTCGCCCCAGGAGTGGTGGACCACCGTTTTTAACAACAAATATTTATACTTGGTTCGTTTGATTATTATAAGTAGCATTTGCAACAAAATATCCTAACGGAGAGATTCTATGTCCATTATAAAGGCACATTTTAATATTACTTTTAAACAGCTTATAGATATAAAATGAATTAATATATTGATTTTCGGAAATAACATTATTCGCAGACCCCGTATCGAGTTCCATAGTTACATTTTCCCGACCGATATATAAGTCTAAGTTGATAGGTTTTTGTCCCACGTACCTTATATTGAAATTTTTACACTCGTGACATCCTCTACTACTGCTGTTATTAACTTCGTCACCTTCATTGCATATATTATGCACTCGTGAAAATGCACTTTTTTCACCACGAACCTTTTTTAGATGCCCTTTTATACCTCACTTGTAGCATTTATATCGGCACTTATTTTCGTCGTGATTTTTCATACCGCACACTGAACAAGGTTTGCTGCACCGCGCCACCTACGCGCTGCCCGAGCCACCTCCAGCGCTGCTTCTAGCGCTGCCCTCGCCACTGGTACCTTCACGTCGGCCCCGACCGCCTTCAAAAGACGCACGATAGATTGGCTCCTCTTTAATTACAACACTGGTTAATGTTTTCGCCGCTCGAGCACTCTCCGTCTGTTCAGCAATTTCCAAAGCCTTGTCGATCGTCATTGATCCTGGCTTTTGTTCAAAAAGCTTGTCACGTTCGGGACCTGAACCAAGACCTAAGACGAAACGATCCGTGATGTTCGTTTCTAAGGCGGTTCCGAAATCGCAGAAGCTTGCTAGGCCCCTCAGTCGCGCGACCCACTCCTTCAATGACTCGCCTGCACTTTTGTCGCCCCGTGGAACTTCGCCCTGTCTGCGTAAGAAGACTCCTTAGCTTTAAAGTGTTTGTCGCGTAATCCAACTAGCTCTTCGTAGCTCAGCACGTCAATTTCCTTCGGAAATGCTAGATTTCTAATAAGGCGGTAGGACTCATCTGACAAGTGCGTGATCAATATGGCTCCTTTGTCTGCGTCCGTTAACTTATTCACTTTAAGAAACTGCATCAAACGTCCTTTGCAAATTGCCCATTCGTTTGTTTTATAGTCGAACACTTGTAAATTCCGCACGCGCACATATAGAGTCCGACCGAAACTGGTTATCCGCCCGAAACCGAAACCGAATATTCGGCCATGACTTCAGTTTCGACCGAAACCGAAACTCACGTGGTCAATATTAAAATTCCTTAAAATACTGAAATTTGGTGCATTTTACTTATTATTCAGAATTAATTAGGACATGAAATGGAAACACAGTATATAAATTTTGTTGTAGGTAAGCATTTATTAAATATCGTCGTTGCGACTTTAAGACCTTCCATGTGTAAAATTCTTCAATGCGAGATATTCAATAAAAACTGTCTACTGAAAAAAATATAAGGGAACTAAATATAACAAAAAATACAAGTGATAACTAGAGGGTTTTATGATTTTTATTTTGCTCTTGTCATTTGAAATAATAAACGAAATTGTAGTAAAAAAAAAATAAAAAACAATTCAATGTGACACATAAGAGGGTTTTGGTTGCGCGTTTTGTATCACATTAAAAATATAAGTATGAAAAAGGGATTGAGATTCAAAACACATGACTTTCAATTATACAAGTTATTTGTTTTTAAAATTTATCATTGCAATGACAATAGTATATAATAGTGGTTTTATGTATTGCTCAATAGTGGAGTGAACACTGTCCACCTCCATCATGGTGTGCCCTTTTTTATGTTTAATAGGCAAGGCGTTTGACCAAAATCTCGCCTGATGGAAAGCGATGATGAGGCTTAGGATGGTACACGCCTGCCTAGAAGATGCCTGTTCACTCTGGCCTTGAAGATGTCCAGATTATATTGGTCCGGGAAAACAGACCTCGGTAAGGAGTTTCACTCCCTAGCCGTTCGCATAATGAAAGCTGAAGTAAATCGCTTGGTGCGAATGGGAGGAACTTGGACAACATAAGGGTGAAAGCCCTCGCCGCGCCTGGTCGTCCGGTGGTGGAAAGGGGAAGGGAGAATCAAATTGTGTAATACCTCCGCACACTCTCCGAAATGTAACCGATAAAACACCGAGATGCAAACTACACGTTTTCGGTGGTCAAGGCTCTGGAGATTAGCCTCAACGAGAGCGTCATCGCCTATGAGTCTCTTCACACGGTGTTTCACCGAGTCCAGTGCATCCAGCTGATACCGAGCAGATCTATTCCAAAGGTGACAACAGTAATCCAAGCTGGAGCGAACTTGGTCTCGATAAAGGTTAAGGAGCGGCTCAGATGTAAAATACCACCTGACCTTAGAAAGTATTCCAAGTTTATTGGCAGCGGTTTTAGTAATGGATTCGATGTAGCGACCGAAATTGAGGCTGAATGAGATGTTTTGGAAAGTCGGAGTCAGATGGAATGGACTTCGTTTCGCCGAGAAGAGACAGGCCTGTGTTTTAGAGGGATTGAATCCAACCAAGTTGGCTTCACCCCAGAGGAAAACAGCTTCCAGGGTTGCATAACTCCCTCCACCATCGCCTCCCTTAAAGATCGGACGTCTGCATCAGACTTCACATCAGGCAGGTATCTCTCCGAGACTGTCGTCTGCATACCCAAAGATACCGGGAGTAAGGAGCAGATCATTGATGCCCTTTCTCTAAATAGAGTTGTTCGATATTCAATTGCCTTCGTTGTGCCAAAACACTTAGGGCAGTCGACGAAATTCGGTTTCTGTTCTACAAACATAAAAATAATAATACACTCAATCGTAGTTGGTAAATTTTGACAATGGTCTATTAAGCAAGATGTAAATTCATTAGCAGTTACATTACCGTCTGCTTCGTGCCAGCAGTAAATTGATAAAACATAAACGGTGAAATTATGACATTGTAACTTCAATTTATAGAACAGGGCACTTGCCAATAGCTTTGGAGCAAGCAATACACTTTGCACATCGACTTTTATAACCACAGAGCGAGAACCCGTCGAAGCTAACGTAATTTTTATATTACTACCCCCATCTAACACCTACACACGCGATCTATGCATCCCTCTCATTCTAGTGCTTCTATTGGTTAGTTATGTTAAAATTTGACCAATAACAATTTTTACCTATCTAGCGCTTTTACACATAAGATATTTTAAATGCCAACTTTACTAGAGCAAGCACTTAGGATATATTGAATAAAGTAAATAAATAGAAATTGAAAAGACTTATTCACACCAGAGTTTTTGCTTTCGATGTAGCGCCAAAATTTGAAACAAACCCGTATAAAAAAGGTATTTCGACAAAAATGACACATAGGAGGTCTTGAAGTCGCAACGACGATATATGTTTAATATAAAAAAAATATTAATAATATTTTTATTATTTTTTCAAAGTAAGTTCTCATAGCAAAATTTTTATCAGTTATCAATAATCAATTCACAAATTGTTACTGTTTCATTAAATACCCATTGGTATATTGAAATCTTATAAATTAATACTTTGGTGTTTGTATTAAAATTTGTACTTAAAAGAATCATCAATCTCTTTTATCTCAGTATAGGAAACTGCACTTCTCAATATAGGTTATGGACTGCTGTGCGAGAAACGAAGTAAGGCGAGCGTGCACGACAATTTCCGAAATCAGTTTCGGTTTCGGCAAAAGTTTCGGCCAATTTTGGGAGAAACCGAACTTTCGGTCGGACACTAGCACATACACATACACTGTCAATAAATGCGAAACCCGTTCAATATTCTTTCTTTTTTACTTAAATTACGTATGTATGTTGCCATTGATTACAAGTTTATCCAGGTGTCATGAATGCTTAGTAAAAGCTTACTTCTTGTTTATTAATAATGTCGTAACCGCAAAGGTATTCTCCTTCGCTAATAAGGGATTAGCTACTCTTTGTGTAAGTCGGGTTATGGCAGAAGTACGTAGGTAATTTTTATTAACACTGTAAATGTCCCTGAGTGTTTAAAAGTTCATTCTGTCATTATGAGTGTACGTTAAATTTTGAGAATAGTCGCGTTTTTTGTAGGCGGAGGCTCGCAAGCAAGCAGCTGCGGCGGCTGCAGCGGCGGCGGCAGCGGCTGTGACGCAAGCGCTCGAAGAACCGCCGACGCAGACGCCAATAAACCACGTTCCTTGGGGATCGGCACCTAATGGCGGTAAGTACACACCACCAGCATCCAATCTCTGCATTGGCGTAGCTAGAGGTTTTTCTTAGGAGCGCAGTGGGGGAGACTTTCAATCTGAAATCTCTTGTATACAGAGTGTAAAAAAACCTTTAACGAAGTCGAAGGCCAAGTATTTTCCTCATCATGACGATAAGTTTTTTCAAGATTTTTACATTAATATTTTCGAAACGTTATTTAGAAACTTTTTGATCGACGCATTTACAAACACGCACACACATACACCAGGCACAACAGTAGCGCGCCGCGCTATACATTGCGTACTGGAATTAAAAAAATATTTTTTTAACTTAAATATACAATTTTTTTCCCTTGTATAATATTGTTAATATTACTTGTTTGGTGTACAGAATGTGTAGTTTGAATCTTTGTCATAGGATTTTTTACATCTTGTATATAAAAGGCCACCGTTAATGACTAAACTATCAACGCACAGTTCAAACCACTGAACGGATTGCGCTGGCGACGCACACAGCTATCATGATGTTGGCATCCGCTAAGAAAGGGTTTTCTAAAACTCACCCCTTAAAGGGGTCGGTTCTTCTCAGTACAAGGTCTCCCACCGTAGATTTACGAACCGATGGCGTATATAGCTTCTATACATTCATGAGTGCTTGTAAAAGCCTAAACTGAATAAATGATTTTGATAACAATTATTAAATAAATTAAAGAAAAGTAAAAAAAAATATCGCTTTGCAAGAAATTAAGTTTTACAAAACTAAATTCGGTCGGTCTGTGGGGACCCGGAAAATAAATCTGATTAATTATTATTACAATAAACTGCACAAAAGGTTTCTGGGACACACCGCCGAATCAGCCAATGAAAGCGGAGAAACAGCAAGAGTCTCCCAAGGCATCAGCCCCGGAACAGAAGGCCAAGAAGAAGGCGACGGTCAGCATGCCCCCCAAGAAGGAAACGTCGCCGGCCGTGGAGTTCGAGTCTTGGTGCACCACTGTACTGGCTTCATGGAGCTCGAAAATCGATGGTAAGTGTTTCATAAGACGTCCATTAGTAGACATGCAGCTGTCAGTAAGCCAATGAAAGCGGAGAAGCCGCAGAAGTATGAGCAAGACACTTTCATACATTCAAAAAACTATACTGGCTTCTTGGATCTCGAAAATCGATAGTAAGTGTTTCATAAGACATTTAGAATTCCAGTTATAGTGCACCACCGCACTAGCTTCTTGGAGCTCGAAAATTGATGATAAGCAACTTTCGTACATTCAAACATTTGGAGTCACCTAAAGCAGCCGGCCCGCAGCAGAAGCCCAAGAAGAAGGCGACGGTCAGCACGCCCGCCAAGAAGGAAACGTCGCCGGTCGAGGAGTTCGAGTCTTGGTGCACCACTGTACTGGCTTCTTGGAGCTCGGGTAAGTGTTTCATAAGATATCTGAAATTAGAGTCTTGATACTGTATGGTGCTGACTTCGTGGTACACTTAAAATCGTTGGAAAGCAATTTTTCTTACATTCAAGTCGTCGGCCGTGGAATTAGAGTCTTGGCGCAGTAAGGTTCTTGGAGATGTAAAACCGATGGTAGTTATAGCTGATTCATAAGACGTCTACTATAGGCTCATGCAGCCTTCAGTCAGTCAATGAAAGCTGAGAAGCCGCAGGAGTATGGACAAGAAACTTTCATACATTCAAAAAACTATACTGGCTTCTTGGATCTCGAAAATCGATAGCAAGTGTTTCATAAGACGTTTAGAATTCGAGTTATGGTGCACCACTGTACTAGCTTCTTAATGCATTACGGTGTTGGCTTCGTGGACCTCTTAAAATAGTTAGGAAGCAATTATTCTTACATTCAATTTCAACCGTCGGCCGTGGAATTCGAGTCTTGGTGCACTAAGGTGCTGGCTTCTTGGAGCTTTAAAACCGATGGTAGTTGATTCATAAGATGTCTACTATAGGATCATGCAGCTTTCAGTCAGTCAATGAAAGCTGAGAAGCCGCAGGAGAATGGTAAAAAAAAAATCAGTTAATTAAAAAAACTGTTCTGGCTTTTTGGAGTTTGAAAATAGATGGTAAGTGTTTTTAAGACGACCATTGGATGCTCGTGTAGCGGTCAGTCAGGTAATGAGAGCAGAAAATCTGTAAGTGTCTTCTAAGGGCTGAAACTGCGTTATGTGTCTTACAGACAGACGAGGGGTGGCGGTGAGGTGAGTTGTATTCGCTTGCAATGTAAGCGAGTGTTCAAACACGAGCGACCAATTAGAGTCTTGGTGCACCGCTGGACTGGCTTCAAACAATTCAAATCATCAGCCAATTAATGTCCTCGCTGAAGCCATAGACCTTCTCTATAGACGGTATGGAGAGATGGGGCCATGACCCACCACGAAGGCGCAGCGTGGATTTGTGGGTGCTAACGAACAAATGTTATTAAAATGTAATAAAAATGAGGACATAGCAAATAACATAGAAGAGAAGATGGAGACCCTCTTTTTAAAAAAAATAACAAATAACAATTTTCATCATCATCACTGCTGGGGCACAGGCCTTCCCGGTGGATGGAATAAGGAGATTGGGCCATGACCCACCACGCGGGCCCAGTGCGGATTGGTGGATGCTAACGACTGCAGATGCAGCTGGGACCAACGGCTTAACGTGCCTTCCGAAGCACGGAGGAGCTCGAGATAGTAATTTTTGGTCACCCATCCAATAACCGACCACTACGAAAGTTGCTTAAGTTCAACGATCGCAGCCGAACGCGCCAGCCACTTGCGCCATCGAGCTCCTCATAAAATTTTTATCATCGGTCAATTAATGTCCCGCTGCATGAGCATCTATAGATGAAATAGGGAGGCCATAATCCACCATGCAGACCCAGTGTTGATTGGTGGGTGCTAACGACTGCCGATGCAGCCGGGACCAACGGATTAACGAGCATTTGAAGCACTGAAGTGCTCGAGATAGTAAGTTTTTGGTCACCTATCGGATGAAGGCCATTGCGAAAGTTCCAAGATCGCAGACCGAACCCTCGAACCACTTGCATTATCGAGCTCCACAAACAATTTAAATGTGAATGAACTGTTGCCAAAAATCAATGTTTTCTAATTCCACTAAGAATTTAAATAAGTTAAAAGATTTCTAAATTTACTAACGGTTCAAATAGACCTTATCAGTTTTGTAGTGGTTCTTTTTAAGTTCAAAATACAACTTGAGAGAATTTCTAGAAGCGCTAACATTAGGATTTTTAAACGCGCGTCCACAAACCGTTGTGCGTACCAAACCCTAATTACAAAATTAACTTCTTCAATCTGTATTGTTACAGTACCTACTTTCGTCGGATTTCTGAAGGACATTGAGTCGCCTTATGAAGTAAAAGACTATGTCAAGTGTTACCTAGGGGAGTCTAAGGATTCGAACGATTTTGCTCGCAATTTCCTCGAGAGAAGGTGAGTGTAAAACTCAAGTTATTTGAATATAAATATAATATAATTACATGAATATTTTCGTCAAATTCTGTAGGTATAATCGTTCTATAAAATCCAATATTCCGGGCTGGTTTTAGTACTACCAGCGTCTTGGGCGAGATTTCTGTGGCGCTGTTCTAACTTATTCAAACCCATATGAAAAGAGTCAAAGGAGGAGAAAATAATAATAAAAAAATATTCCTAGCCTTTTTAAAGACGAAACCTTTATCCAAGTCGATGTTTCCTGCAATTTCATTTTTATTGTCAAAGTTGCCAAGTGTGTCAATCTAGATTGAGATATGTTGTTCGCAGATAGATTTTTATTAGCTAAGCTTACGCCCCAAACGTACAAACGAACAAAAAACGTCTCTATCTATTTATTATAATAAGTATTAAGTATTATTATTCAACTTTTATATTTTAATTTGTTAGATGAAACTAATGTTTTTCTGGTTTTCTCCACCAAACCCCGCCCTGGCGTAGATTGTGACCATCAACTATAAGTTACCACAGTAAAAATTCGGCTAAGATTACAGAAACGTAGATCACCATAAAAGTGCATTGATTTTCCTGCATAAATGTAGAAAATATGTGAAAGTGGGTCTAGAAGACCCACGTACGAGTTACCTTGAAATAGAGCTTTCCGAATCAGCAAACACGTCATAAGAAAAACAAGTCTGTGGCCATAGAGACAGTAAAAGAGTAGCACAGGGTACTCGCAAAGGACCTGCAAATGAAATCTAAATGAATGAGCGATGAAACGTTGTGTGCCATAACGGAAAGAAGACGCCTCAAAGAAAGCGGGTTGGGCTCTGTATTTTGCCAAAAACAATACCGCAAACTGCATGGTGCAAAGACCATGCAAGCGAGATAAAATGTCTCAATCAGCTGCTTACGCCTTATTACAAACGCAGACTAAAGGTAAACCTGGACTAAAACTGATGCTGCCACTTTTGTTTGCTAAAAAGAAGACCGAGACAACATTAGGGTTAAACCAAGGTCCAAGACTAATTTGAGTCCGCGTTTTGGAATAAGGCGGTTTATTTTTGGATATAGTACGGCCGAAAATCGTTCCATAATAAAGATATGTTTACAAAGCCCAGGAATTGGACTAGGTCGAGAGAGCGAGACCGCTAGTTGATAAAGATATGGAAATCGTCAGTACTGTCAGCAATTGTAGAAGGAAGCTCCCGATATTGTTAAGAACCAGATATCCTTCTCAGCGAGGTGAATCAGCACTCGCAGTCTAAAAGGAAAAGCTTGCGTTGGAGACGGGGACAGTCTGCATAGCTACTCACAGTGTTTTATAGAACCAAAAATATTTACACCTTAAGGTTTTTGCATAAATCAATTATTTAAACCCTAATAAAGGCAAGAGTTTAATTCCCAGATCACTATTTTAAGTAAAAAAAAAAGATATGAAGTAGCAAAGTTTTTGAAATTTGCGCATGAAAAAATTAACAATTTAATTTCCTCAAAAGACGGTTCCATATCTGTCCATGAGATATTTTCCAATTGCTAAGGAATTATTGATGGCATAATTTTGTTATTTTATTTTATTTATAAGTGTCCTAGTTTCCAAGAAATATAGGTTTTTTAAATTTCGATTTTTAATTTTTTTCTCCAAAAATCGGCAAAAGTGGAACCTGGATTTAGTACAGAAAGGTTCTATAAGTCAAGTTCTATCACCCATAAAAAAATCAAGTTTCACTTTTGCGGTTTTAAGAAGTTATGACAGAATTTAGATAAAGGTCAACTTTCATGATCTAGGGTTGTCACAAAGGTCAACTATGAGTTAAATGAAAATTGTTTTTTTTTTTGTTATTAATACCGTCAATCAATTGAATAAATTATATTATATTCTAATTAAATAAGTGTTGTACTTATAGACGAATACAATATACTTACAAATACTACCTACCTAATGTAGATGTGATAATGTAGGAATACTTTATGTTTTAATTTTGACGACCACATTTTAATTTTGCCTTACACGCTAAATGGCAAAGAAAAAATAAACTATGTTGTTTGAAAAAATTTAACACACATCCTATACTATAAACGAGCAATTATTGTATGTACCTATATAAATATATTGGTATGTAATTGGTTTCTCGGAAACGGATCTAACGATTGTGATGAAATTTTGGATTTAGAAATTCATTCACATTTAAAATCAATCTACGATAGTGTCATCCTGCCGGCACCTTCTTTATGCAACACCTCTACTTTAACTTTTATACAAATAAATCATCTTCGTTTAATAATTCTAGGTTGCTTTCATTTGCGACGTTCGAAAAATCTTCATCTTCAGCATCTTCCTCTGCTTCGAATAACGGCAATCGATCTGCATCAATTGGTTGTAAGAGCTCGCAAACAGCTGAAGGCAAGGGAAATCGCTTAGAATATTTTCGACGTTGGCTGATATTTGCCATAGAAATAAACGGGTCTGATGATTCTGGGGCACGGTGAAAGAGGTCCGTCATTGTGGTTCTCCTGTTCATTTTTCGGCAATGATGCTCTCTGTCTGAACGCTAGAATTTATTTCGGGACTCAGCTGCTTGTTCAGATAGCATACCGATGGGCAGTGCACTGGACGCAATAATTTCTTCACCGTGCATGAGGATTTTATGAACTGTTACTGTCATCGGGTGCCAACTATAAAAACGGACATATTTTTCAACCCTAGATCATGAAAGTTGACCTTTATCTAAATTCTGTCATAACTTCTTAAAACCGCAAAAGTGAAACTTGATTTTTTTATGGGTAATAGAACTTGGCTTATAGAACCTTTCTGTACTAAATCCAGGTTCCACTTTTGCCGATTTTTGGAGAAAAAAATTAAAAATCGAAATTTAAAAAAACTCTTGGAAACTAGGACACTTATAAATAAAATAAAATTACAAAATTATGCCATCAATAATTCCTTAGCAAGTGGCAAATATCTCATGGACAGATATGGAACCGTCTTTTGAGGAAATTAAATTGTTAATATTTTCATGCGCAAATTTCAAAAACTTTGCTACTTCATATCTTTTTTTTACTTAAAATAGTGATCTGGGAATTGAACTCTTGCCTTTTTTAGGGTATAAATAATCTATTTATGTAAGAACCTGAACATGTAAATTTTTTTGGTTCCATAAAACACTGTGCTACTGAGTCTCTGGTCCTGGTTAAATTACTAAAAGTCTGGAAAATGGCTCAATGGCTGATGGTTGGCCTGAATGTGGCCCCGATACATATGAAAGACTTTATAAGTAAATATGAGAATTATGAACGCTTTCTCAATCATATGCGACGCAAGTAAAATACTGCTGCATTTCATCAAGAGCCTATTAGAAATTACATTTGAAGAGAAATTGCTAGCAGATCTTAAACATGAGACAGATGATTGAAAAGTGCAGAAAATTTCATTTGAATGTTAGCATAAAGATTCTAAGATACTACTTACATCAATAACTTCACTTTGCAGATGACAACATTATTGTAGCTAACGATAATGCAATTGACGAACTTTTGCAAATTGTAGAGAGTGTAAGCGCGGAATATGGTCTGAAAATAAACCGTGTAAAAGCGAAGGTGCTGTTTATCGACAGAGGGAAAGTCTTACAAAGAACATAGGAGTTATCTTTCCTGGAAACCCTACAGCAGTTTATTTACCTCGGTTCAATGGTAACTACCGATGGAGACTGTGAGAGATGCATTCCTGCAAAGTATGCGAAACGCCAATAAATAAATAAAATCAGTGCATCTAATACGTTGAAACTTGTTTTATTTAATAAGTGATGAGCGTCAAAACCTAAGAAACAAATATGCTTTAGAGATACTGAAGGCATGTGTTCGGAACAAATAACAGACATTTGAGATGTTAGTGATCGCGAAGAATTTTATGGATCCCTTGCACAGTGCGTTGCATAAAGTTTCGATCCTAAATGAAGTGGACATAAAGATCCGTTTAAGATCAGATCAGTTGTCTTTATGCAACGTGTCCTTCATTAGGTCGGACTGATTGTTGTGGGTTGTAAGCCATGTGGAAGGAAAGAGGAGGAGTATACGATCACCGACGCGATGGACCGATGCTCCAAAGGAGATCTGCCAAACTGACATGCAGACGTGAGACTTCTATCTGGATGGTCGAAAACTGAACAACATGGAGCTCCAACATACGGAATAGCCTCATGCTGTCATAAACCTCAGTTATGAGGAAACGGGGAAGAAGAACACTAATGTCATTCGGTAGTTGGAATAAAGAATGCCGAACATCTGTTTGTTTTATAATAATTGGATTAAGTGCATGTTAAGTGTTTTGTTGTACAAAACGCAAGTGCAGTCCTGCGTGGAATATTGCTCGCACCTCTGGGATGGCTCCGCTAAGTACTTACTCGATGCCTTGAATAGGTTGCAGCGTCGCGCTGCCCGCATCATTGGCGATGAAGAGGTAACTAAGAAATTCGAGTCTCTACAATTACTCCGCGATGTGGCATCATTAAGCGCATTCTACCGACTATACCACGGCGAGTGTTCTGAGGAGTTATTCGCCCTTATCCCTCCATGACCTTTTCTTCAGAGGATCACGCGCGCTGGCCTACGTTGCCACCGACTTACTGTGGCCACTATTCCTACACGAACAAAGAAATTTGGTGAATCATATCTTTGTCGTACTATTTGTAAGTGGAATTATTTACCTGCGCACGTCCTATAATCTGGGTTCGTGAGGCGTGAAGTAGCATTTTTGCAGGCCGGCAAGGTGAGGATGGTTGGTGTAGCAGTTTATAACTGCTGTACCAGCTATCTATCACCAGCTATCACCACTTAACATCAGGTGGGGTAGAGTCATTTGCCTACCTCGTTATAAAAAAGTGATGTAATGATTAAGAATAAGCTTAGTGTGTAAAGAAGGGGGCTTGTTAACGAGACGATTCCTTCCCGGGTCTGGGTCTGGTTTTGAAACCGGTCGTTAGCAAGCGCCCTTACGCTTCGTCTACAGTAACTCCAATCCAATTCTTTTTAACTAAAACGTAAAAAATAGAAACTGAGTTTCTCAATGGTTGGAGAGGTCGAGAAAATGGTCTAAGATGAATATAACATTAATATTTTCAATTATCGCGATTTATAGATAAGTTACCTTTTTGAACTCTCAACTTCATCATCATCATCAGCCTATTAATGTCCCCCCTATTGGCGCACAGGCCTGTCCTATGGATGGAATAGGGAGATTGGGCCATGACCCACCACGCGGCCCCAGTGCGGATTGGCGGGTCTCTCAACTTATGAATTAGTAAACAAATATAAAATTATTAAAAATAATCAAAGCTATAATCCGGCGCCCTGGGCGGTCGTCTTACCCTCCCCAACGCCGCTACTGTCAATATTATTGTGAGCTATACAAAATAAATGTCTCCATCCGCTTAAGATAAGCATTTTTATTTGATCTCTCTCTTTTCTTTGAATGCGCACTGGGATGTCTGATCATGTTGATAGTTTATTCTTATCCCTAATTTGTGGCGCAATTGACCACAGATTAGAGAGGAGAATAAACTATCAGAAAAAGAAGAGGGTGCCCGCGACTTCGTCTGTTCTATTCGTCTTTTCACCCCTTTACCGGATGATTTATGGGAAAAAACTATCCTTTGTCTTTCCCTGGGACTCAAACTATATTTATACCCAAGTACATTTAAATCGGTTAAGTCAGACGGAGAGATAGACAGATACACTTTCGCATTTATAATAGTATAGATACACGATCGCTTACGTTTTTTTTTCATTTTGCGATTTTAAGAAACTGAGAAGGCCTTGGTATAGTTTTATGCAGATTATGTATAGTTTTTCTAAAAAAAAATCCTTCTTCTAGATCAAAACTCCTCCGCGTGGGTATGGTGACGCCGTCAGACGATTTGTGTTCGCCGGCGATGGCCATCAACCCGCGCACGCTGCCCGGCTCCGACTACCAAGAGGTCAAGGTATCCGCAGTTCATTGCTGCCCATCCATACTATACTTTTATCATAATTACACGATGCTGCTAGCGTCGGACGTTTGTGTCCCCGCGATGGCCATCAATCAGCCCAGCTCCGACTTCCAAGAGGTCAAGGTATCCGCAGTTCACTGCTGCCCATCCGTACTACATATACTTATATCATAATTACACGATGTTGCTAGCTTCGGACAATTGTGTTCCCGCGATGGCCATCAATCAGCCCAGCTCCGACTTCCAAGAAGTCAAGGTATCCGCAGTTCACTGCTGCCCATCCATACTACATATACTTATATCATAATTACACGATGCTGCTAGCGTCGGACGATTGTGTTCCCGCGATGGCCATCAATCAGCCCGGCTCCGACTACCAAGAGGTCAAGGTATCCGCAGTTCACTGCTGCCCATCCATACTACATATACTTATATCATAATTACACGATGCTGCTAGCGTCGGACGATTGTGTTCCCGCGATGACCATCAATCAGCCCGGCTCCGACTACCAAGAGGTCAAGGTATCCGCAGTTCACTGCTGCCCATCCATACTACATATACTTATATCATAATTACACGATGTTGCTAGCGTCGGACAATTGTGTTCCCGCGATGACAATCAATCAGCCCGGCTCCGACTACCAAGAGGTCAAGGTATCCGCAGTTCACTGCTGCCCATCCATACTACATATACTTATATCATAATTACACGATGCTGCTAGCGTCGGACGCTTGTGTTCCCGCGATGACCATCAATCAGCCCGGCTCCGACTACCAAGAGGTCAAGGTATCCGCAGTTCAATGCTGCCCATCCATATTACATATACTTATATCATAATAACACGATGCTGCTAGCGTCGGACGATTGTTTTCCCGCGATGACCATCAATCGATATCTCAATTTTTGATACTAGCTAAAAATAATGATGATGATTATTATCACTACATGTTATAAAACATAGTTTATACCTGCGTTGGACCGGACCGGGTGGCCGGCGCTCGTTCGAATCCAGCTTGATACACAGGACCAATTTCTAGATTTTTTTTAGATTTACTTATCAAGCAGTTTAGTATTTAATGCTTTAAATTATAATTTATAATACAACTAGTGGGAGCCCGCCACTTCGTCTGTGTGAAAAAAAAAAATAGTTTACCATACACACGCTCACTTTTTGAGACTAGTCTCAAAATTCATCCTTTAAAGTGAGTGTGTGTACATAGGATATATCCTGTCCTTCCTCGTGATTCAAACTATCCCAAAAGCATCTCTCTATACCAAATTTTATCAAAATCGGAGCAGCGGTTTAAGCGCTAACAGGTTACAGACAGGCATATTTTCGCATTTATAATTTATAATAGATAAAAAACGAGATGCTTATTTTTCTCTTTCTCCAACAACAGGGCAAAGGTAAGAAGACCAAGAAAAACAAAATGTTGAAAGTGGACGCTCGCATACTCGGCTTCTCGGTGACCGCCGCCGAGGACCGTATCAACGTCGGCGATATCGACACTGTGTGAGCGCCCCTCTCCACTCCTAGTAACTCGCCTTGTGATACCGGTCGCAGAGTTAGCCAACTCCAATCCTCTCCACGCCTAATCTAGCATGTAAGAACTCCCCCAACGATGCAAGAGCAAACTCTAAACCCAACTTCGACATTGAAACCCCACAAATGACGACCCACACTCTACACGGACACGTTGACAGTCCTGTCAATCTAGAACTCGGTACATTCTTAACTAGAATTCTTACTCAACAGCTCCACGTATCGTCGAAAACTATTTTGTACAAGCGACACGTAGATTAACGGTGGTCGAGTAGTGATGTGTTGATCAAGTGTAGCTGACGTAATATTAACGTTTAGCTTATTGCATAGTAAAACGACAACAATTATTGTGCCTTCAGTGTGTTCTGGCCTTTGGGTGAGAGTGACTTTAATTTAATATTTATTGAGATAAATTATTATATCGCCGCTGTGGGAGTTTCGGCTATCGAGTGTGTTCGTCGAATTTTTTCGCTTGCACATTCGGCTGACGCAAGTTTTAACCGATGGAATACGCGTTTGTGAAACCAAAAGAATACCGAAGAACACACGCGCATTTTCGAGACTCTTTACTTAGTTTGTCCGGTGAATGCAAATTGATTCTTATGACAACGATATACAATTTCGTCTGACTGACTTACTGACAGTCGCAATGCCCAATCGTGACAACTTTAACCTATATTCATTTACAAGTAGCTAGTTGGTACCGATCCCTATTGACATGAGGTTTTTCCTTACATTTTTTTATTTAGACTCATCTCAATTACCTGAATGTCGTTGACATATGAATCTCAACATCACCATTCGAATGGCAGCACTCCAGACACGGCGCCAACGTGACAAAATAAATTCTTACCCTTGATAATAGCAATGAATATGTGCATTATTTATAATGAAGTTGAATTTCTAGTCACTATCTACAAACTAATTTTAAACAGATAATAAACACGGCACAAACGATCGTTATCCGCCACCGCGATGTAAATCAATGGGTGACATTCATAGTAGTACAGATTAAGATTAACCCCCATTATTGGTATGCAGTCGCTAACGTCAAATTATTTCGTATGTCATGGAATGTTCACTATGTAGGTACTATCGAGCAATTTGATTTCTGACCCACTGTTAGCTTATTTCCTTACCAATATTCTGATTCAATTGGGTTGTTTTTGCCAATTTGTATCAGTTTGTACGGTAAAAATGCTACGCTGTGCTGTTAAAATGTTATTGTGAGTCTGCGGAAAAAATGCGTTTGTGACAGTACGTGTCAGTGCCTTATGTTAACAGAATCAAGTATGTAAACTTTTGTCCTAGTAAAAAGAGATCTACGAAAATAAACTCAATTTTGTCAACTTTATAGTTTATTTCGTACGAAACTGATACAACCTGTCACGAACGCAATCTTTCAGCGGCCGCCCTTGAACATTATCACAGTACAGCGTTACATTTTTACCGTACATACTTATGGATATATGATGGATACTAATGACATATAGGATTTTGCTAATATATACAGGGTGTTACAAAAATACAAATAAAGCTTGAAGGGCGTTGAAGTACATCATATAAGAAGTATTTTTAATTTTTATCAAATAAAATCGCTAAAATTTCTGTTACTCGACTCGATTTTTTTTTAATTATGTACTTATTTTGTAATAAAAAAGTAGATATTGTCTCTATCAATCTACAACAAAGGTTTTATTTAATCAGTATTTGATCCTATAAATTTCCTGGTCATGAAAAGGTCCAAAGTCCAAAACGCATTTTAAAATATAGCTGAATGTGTTTCAAAATTTAAAGCCATTTTATTGCATCAGGTCAGGAATCAATTTGTTCAATTGTACACAAATATGATTATAATTATGGCATACTCAAAATTAATGTGTGCATGCAAGCAGAAATATACATATTAATATTGTAAGAACATAACATATGTATGATAATGTATTTTAGTATTGCATTCACACGAAGATAATGGTATAAATGACTACCATTGACAATTAAGGTGCATCAAATACAGATTGATTAGTAACTTCTATTTATATCGTAAATTTCTTGATTAATAATACACCAACGCAATATTCGATCAATATTGTAATTACCATTTTTTTGCTATTAATTAGTTATAATGTAATTGTAGTTCATAAATTGACAGTCAATGAATAACGAAATTAACTTCCAGTATATCGGCACCGCTGACTTGTATTTAGAATGTGTATTGGTTCATCTTGGCTTGGAAATTAGTACCACCATTCTACGATTATAAATTTGGAGCGCGATGTTGATTTTTGTCGCTGAAATCGTAATCGTTCCAACTGTCGTTCGGTTACGGCTCGGGACGGTTGCTCATTAATTTTTTGTTGTATTCCCAAAACCTTTCCTAGAAATATTTTCTTTTCTACTTTATGTTATGGTAGCCAAGCCAAGATTGGACTATCGTAATAAAATAATACACTCCTAGTTACAATTATTCTTCTTCAAAGCATCAAAAATTTCCAAGCCCGCAAAGGGTACAGTATGACTTGATGCCATGCGTATGTGTGTAATTCTTGTAAATAGATTATATTTCCGAATTGCAGTATGACTGCATTTCAGATTAAAAGCCGTAGGCACTTCTGTTTGTGGCCGAAATTTATATGTGATAACGTCTTCGTGTGAAGTAAGCAATTTTAAGTTGCTCACTATAAGGACAATGTTGTGAACACGATTAAACATTGTTGGATAAAGTCGATCTAACTATAAAAATGTCTCCGTAATAATAGTAATATAGGTACGCAATTTGCATTTTATTTATATTTCATATTTATTAAAAATGAGCAATTATATTAATCACAAGTTCTGTAATGTTTAGTTTTTATTTAATTTTTGTATAATATGTCCCAGGAATGTTTTGCTAAGAATGACTTCAAGATGAAGAAAATTTGCTGTCTCTAGTTAATTAGTCACTATGGTTATTTGTTTTTTATGCATGGTATTTTAATGGTAACAATTTTTAATTTTGATTAGATGAAATTATCAATTTAATTCAATTTGTCATTCCCAATATAAGTGACTTTTGATACATAACAAGAAAATGTATCCTACGCGCGACCTAATTTAACGAAATAGCCTATCAGATTCTTGTGTTGAAATAAATTTGTTAACATTTGCAACAATACTGAGATTAAAATTACCAAAATATAGTCAACTATCACCTACTTATTATTGTATAGATCAAGAACTTAGTACAAATATCAATGTGTAAATTTACATTGTCGATGATATAAGTAAAGGAAACGGTCGTGCATCGAGTGCCTCACACCCAAAAGGCTTATCTCATTCTTATCTACTGTTTTAAACAATTCTAGAACGTTCTTCATTTTTATTCAGGGTAGTCTTTTCAGTAGGCTTAATACATACATATAAGGTAATAATTACTGAACTAAAATAGAATACACCTGTTCCAGTGATTCGTGGTACTTATCGATCGCTTTTAATCATTTTTATCATTCTATTATTATAACAAGCATTGCTATACGGCCGTTTTAATTTAGTTTAATTATTTTTACATTCAATTCTAAGGATTTTATTAGTGTTTTATGTATATACATTATTTAAATGTTTAATTATTGCGTAATCATTTGTATATAATTATACTTCCTTGTTTCTTACCTGAAATATTTTTATACTAAATCGTAATTGCAGATTTGCTTTTAAATCCACATAAAATCTATGATTCGTGCCAGTGAGATTATGGCATTGTGTCTCCAACAAGTTCCTCCACAAATGACATTAATTATGCCTCTTATAACTCTAACACAGGCAGCGTATGGTTTTGAGTCCAATGGAAGCAATGAAACAAACAAATCATTTATCAATAAGCGGCTGTTGAGACTTTCCTCTGGTTCAATAGATTGTAGATTTCAGCAAGTCACATGAAATTACTTATGGCACAAAAGTGCACAATATTATTGCTCATCGCCTAAATAAATTTAAATGCAGTTTCTCTTTCTACGTTTTCACGGATCTGCGTGAACATTAATTGACAAAAAATGCATCCGAAATTGACAAACGGAGTTAAGATCATTGCTGGTTGTTAAGAGCCGCATCATATATAATTAAATTCTTTTAAAATTGTGGTTATTTTTATTGTTCTTTATAAATTTAGAACATCAAAAACACATAGTACTGAAAAGAGGAACTGTATTATCTATGAGAGAATACCTAATATAAATATAATTAGTATATTATTTTGTTCATATGTCGATGACTTCGTTTGGCTACAGTAGGGCAACGATTTATTTATTTAGATCTACCAACAGTTATTTACATTCATATAAATGTAATATGTCGTATTATAAGTTACATGCAATCACCAATTACAGGTTAAACACTGATTCCCTTTCGTATATATACCAGATATATTTAATTTATATCTTTAATACTCGTTACTAATCCTAAATATTTGTTTTTAAAATTCAATCTGTGTTTTAAACTGTGACTTTTGTTATGTTACCTATCGACATAATTGTCTTGCCGAATTTTAATAAATTGGTCGTTTCCTTTCAGTTTGAAAAAATATGTATTGTATATTTTTGTAAGAGTGAAAGGTCAGCGATGAACTGTGTCTACTCCGTGGCACTCTGTCTATTTGTAATGTTTAAATTTATGTTAATGATTTGTTTTAGAATCGTTGGTATGAAGCGTCTTATCCTTCTATTACTCCAACAGGGACTCGCATTACTGTTCAGGCAGAAGCCATTTATTTATATTTTTTAATCACAAGAATGAAAGACAATTTTACCAAATAGACGAAGAGAATGCAGACGGCGTCTTATTAGGGGTTAGTTAGCATATTCTTAATGTACATACTTGTACGTACTGAATGCTTGTGGCTCGAGAGTGTTTGTTTTTACTCATTAGGCTTGATTAACAATGGATTTAACTATTACACCAATTATTGTGTTGATGTCGATTTTTTTTTAGTAAGTATTTTGTAATTTGTACGCCCATTGCCTTCCCTTCATCGACATGAATGTGACTATTAATCAATTTTACATCTCATACATATTTTATGTTATATTTTACGCCGAAGTCACTACTGCTCTTTTTTATTAAGTGATCGGAAACGATTTTGAATTCGATATTTTACGCTTTGTCATCACTTGTGAAGAAATTGACAAAGGCAAAGCAATAAGTCGATAAGTAATTCTTCTCCGATCGCTTGCGAATAAAGTGGTCGGTCCCTGTTGTGAGCTATACTAAGATTAGAACTGGCAATATTTTAGTTGGATTTTTAGTGTGGAATCCAATAAATTGTTAATATGCAAATTGATACTGTGGGATTGTTCTAGATATAAAGCGACTGCCCTTCCAAGATTCAATTTTAAGGCTGTATCTTTTGTCTATATGTGAGATGGTAAGGTGGCGAGCCTTCTCGGAGCTTGCTTTCGATCAATTCGTGTATGAGGCCATAGGACATCATTAGATCTCGATAATTTTAAATTTAAGCGTCATTTATACTTGTAAATAAAAAGCCTATTTGTGAGAGATCATCAATATTTTTTTAGATAGAAATGTGGATAAATTACGCTATTGTATAGTGTGAAATTCAGATTCTCCACAACAAAGTGATATTAAATTTAATACCTCACAGATTTGACTACGTCAAAGTCTTATTCACAATTTTGTTAAATTCTTTATATTTTCCATAGATGATTGGTCTCGCTTCAGCCGAGAGAAGCGAGGCTAATCATTTATCTATGATATTTGCATTATTTTTACATTTTTAAGTCCCAGGCATATACATATATCTGTACAGTATCGTCTTGTTGTTCGTTAGGTAATTGGAAAATTTAGTGAGAAGCTAAAATTACATTGGCACTATCTTCGAGTTATATGATATTATTAAAGTAGATCTGATAGCTATGGCCTTGACTTTAAAGCTGATATATAGAAACCCCACTCATCAACAGGCGTCCGTTGTTAACTTGCCTTCGATTCGTCTCTTTCTATCGTCTTCGAAGTGTAGTTCGTGACTTCAAGACTAGGAGAAGAAGCAACATGTACAAAAAAGATCTACATCTGCGAGTCGGTTGACTAATGCTCTTAGCTCGTAATTATACCTAATGCTCACATGCACTAGAAAGAGATGGAGCGAAGGAAACGTACAAAAGGTTGTGTGTACGTGTGAGAATTCACTTTAGGTCACGGGTCAATTCAGAGATGTGAACAAATAATATCACATTAGAGAAAATCTCTATAATTAATAACATAACATCCGTTATTGGACCGCTTGTACGTGCTAGAAACACGTTCTCAATGCAATAAATATTGCAATCTAAGTGTTTGTAATACAGTTGATTCATCTTGTTACCGGCAAGTGCTCCGCTCCGACCCTTGTCCTAATATTCTACTGGGTTCCCGCCACCTAGTGAGGTGTTGCTCTTGGAAAACTAAATTATTCAATATTAATACAGCCTTATTATAAAAAGAAGCAATAAGTGTACTGATTCTCGTAAACTCCTAATGAATGTTAAATGTTTTGATTATTATAATATGTTCTAAAGACGTGTAAATATTATTTTAGAGTTATAAATAAAATAATTGATCATTGTTTTGGACCTTTTATTTTACCAAGGCAATAAGTATGGTCTATCAGAAAATTTAAATTTGCACACATTGGCGTAACAACTTAAGTAGACTCCCAATCGTCTAACAAAAGTGCATAAAAAACGTCCGAGCCGCGCTGTATTACACATATACATCAATTTACACAGAAGAAAATACTTCAAATGAATACGTTATGTCGTGGCAGTAAGGTTCAATGTCAATTGTGTACGAGCGAGAAAGGGAGAGTTTGATATACGACCGAAACAACAAGAAAGTTGCGTTATTTTGTTAGTTTAAAACGAGGAGCTCGATGGCGCAAGTGGTTAGCGCGTTCGGCCGCGATCGTTGAACTTAAGCAACTTTCACAGTGATCGGTCATTGGATGGGTGACCAAAAATTACTATCTCGAGCTCCTCCGTGCTTCGGAAGGCACGTTAAGCCGTTGGTCCCGGCTGCATCTACAGTCGTTAGCACCCACCCGCCAATCCGCACTGGGCCCGCGTGGTGGGTCATGGCCCAATCTCCCTATTCCATCCATAGGGAAGGCCTGTGCCCCAGCAGTGGGGACATTAATAGGCTGATGATGATGATGAAAACGACATTTACCTGTCAGCGTGGATCAGTATCTTTAGTACGAACCAATATCGAATTCGTGACGTTTGCGAGTGCGAAATGTCATTTTCTTTTCTATGGGAACATGAATAGCAGCGCCACAAAGGACGCAACGAGAACTAAAAATCAGTACACATTTGACAATGACATTTCGGACTCGCAAACTATTCCAATTCGATAATGGTTCGTAATAGAGGTACAGAACCAGTGAATGAACACCTGTACCCCTAGCACGAACCATTATCGAATTGGAATAGTTTGCGAGTCCGAAATGTCATTGTCAAATGTGTACTGATTTTTAGTTCTCGTTACGTACTTTGTGCCGCTGCTGTTCAAGTTTCATACAAAATTTGACATTGACATTTCGGTTTGCAAACTATTCGAATTCGATAATGGTTCGTGCTAGGGGTACAGTATGTAATTACGGCTCACTGAATATTTTTTGTTAGCATAGGTTATGTATCTCGTAAAAACTTTTTTACGAGAGATACATAATCTTATATTTAGTGGAAATCTGTAGTTTTCTTATTTTATTGAAAAAACTCACTTTCGTTTCCTATAGCACATGGAGAGATTTTATTATAAGAATGACCGAATATTCACGTTCGTGTAAGTAGGGTAAGTGCTCCAGTGAATGAACACACCCCAATCACGGTAATAATATCATACAGTATTCTATCTTCATACAAACGGTCGGAAAGCGAGTCAGGCATTGTCCTAATACAACGCGATAACGCGAATGAGCGATGCGATCATCGTACGATTCGACGATCAAACATATTGATCTAGAATAGGTGTCCTAATAGGCGATCGCGCGATGCATTCGCGCTACTAAAATGTTTAAAAATTTATTCGCGCGAACTTAGTTCACGCGAACGCGCAATCGCGCAATCAAACCTATTAATGATGAATAGGTGTCCTAACTGAAGTTCGCGCGATGATCGCGTCGCGTCGATAGGAAGCGAGGAGAGGGGCAGGACTAACCCGTTCCGTATTCGCGTTCTATTAGGACACCCAGTTCGCGATCACGCGATGGTCGCATCGTTTAATCGCGCGATGATCGCGTTATCGCGTTGTATTAGGACAATGCCTCATACCTACGCCACTAGAGTTCGAGGCACTCTCGGCGGGCACCCAGTCGCGAATGCGCCGCCGCCGCCTCTCCGCAACGACGACCGAACGGTGTGAATTGTTTTTTATGCAGTTAGCCGTGCTTAAACGTGCGTTTTGTATTGTAAATATTTGATTGAATTAAGTAGATACCTACATAATTTAGTATGGAAAAGAACAAACGACGATCAATATCGTACAACAGCACAATTGCTGTTTTTGGTTGCTTGAACTCTTCAATAACACACCCAGAGATATCATTTTTTAAATTACCTGAAATATTGGAAAGGTGTCTTACCTTTATAGAATATTTTTTATATACCTATCTATTAGTACGTAATTTGTTTCTAAAATAGCTTCCACACGATACAATTTTACGTCCAATTTGATTAGATTGACAATCGAATTGTGTTGTGTGGACGGAAATATGAAATTGAAGGTTATTGGATGGTCGGTATCGCCCGATTCGGGATTGCCCAATCAAATTGGGTGGTGTGGACGCTAACTGGCCAATTTTTTAACGTAGTCACTGTGCAAGCGGCGTTCAGAGCGGGTGTGTGCGTTGACTTGTCTTTTGAGAAGAAGATATAGCAACATGACGACAATATTATGTCTATTCGATCTGAACGGGAAGTAATGGAGGAAATTTTAGATATATGTTAAGACTTGCCATGCCTTTGGGATGTGTCTAACCCATTATATAAAAATAATAAAAATTATAACAGTAATATTTTCCGCAATCTGGGCGAATGCACTGACCAATTATGCTACCGCGGCCCTTACGGACCGCGTCGAAATTCTTCCAGCCATTCTTAAGTTGCAAGGCAGCGCCATCTCTTCGCATTATAGGTAACCCACAATGTCAAATGAATACTTTTACAAGTATTAAACATTTGAAAAAAGAAATAGCAATTATAGTTATAATTTTTATTATTTTTAAAGCAAGTAACTGCTTGATATTTAAATCTAAAGAAAATATAACTCAGTTATATTTTAAAGGGTGGAATTTTTTCTAGTTATATTTTCTTTAAAAATATTACTCTTTAAGTATAACTATATTTAAGTCCTCAATTGCTTTCTTTTTAATAACCATTGTTTTGTCCACAGTCTTCTTCTTTTTCTTTTTTTCTCATCTACATTTGTAGTTAGAGCCAAGATTAATCCAATTTTTTGCTTCTTGGTAAGAGGCATCCTAATACAAACAAGTTCGTTCAGCAGAGGCAACAAATAAAACTGAAATTGGCGATCTAGTTGTGTATGTGTAGACGGACGACCAGATTGTACCTAATTCAATCGGCAATCAGATTGGCAATCAAATTGTGTCGTGTGGAAGGGGTATAATATTTAGGTATTTCAATTTTTCCATCGGGCAAAATATCTGGAATAATATATAAATAAGTGGTTAGGATGAAAAAAGAGACAAACGAGTAATCTACCTACACTCGCGTTAAAAACAAAACTACATAAAATACTGTAGGCGGGCGGCCCTACCGCGTGCTAACTAGGGTTGCAACGATATATCGGAATATCGATAATATCGAGACCAAAATATCGATATTTATATCGATATTTAAAATTCACTGATATCGATAATATCGATATCGGAAATTCCAAAATATCGATATTTCGTAGACTAAATTTGAACACAATAATATCAATTAATTTACCTGATATGACTATCTAAATTGAATAATATCGAAATAACTATTGCTTTGAAATCGCAAGAGCTTATAGATGTATTAACAAAATCTTGAACTTCAAGAAATATGCCAAACTGGTGTGGATTCTGGCATGATTCTCTAAACCTAAAATTAAATTTGATAACAGTGTATCCTTGTCATTCTCTATACAGAATGAAAAGGAGAGACTGATGTTAAATTTAGTTTTAAGTTTAGATAATCATGCCAGAATCGACACCAACGTATATAGGTATAATCGTATACCTAATGGTAACTCATGCGCTTAAATAAAATCCTTGCCTCTCTTTCTAGATAATTGTCAACTACTGATTAATTGAAATTTAATATCATTGTAATATAACACAAAATAAAATTAAGAATCATAAACAAATCGTAATTTTTTTAAGCTCGCCAAGTCAAGAAAGTAAGATAGGTATAGTAATTTTGGAAGCTTTGGGCTTACCCTATTCTGAATCCATGGGCACGCCCCTGATGTGTGGGAGACTAAGCAATTTGCGTATTTGATCTGCGGTAAAAAACCGACATAACTTGGAAAATCACGAATGTAGTGAAAACTTAGCGAAGGCATTCGCAAACGTCGTCCCACATATGCGGGTTGGCGCATTCGTGCTAACGAATATGAGTGATCTGATCAGGATGTTGATGTTGGAATGACTGATATATCGGAGCGGATATCGATATTTACCTGCCCACATTATAAATATCAATATTTCGGAAACCTTTGCTTCCTTAATTTTAGGTTTTTGCTTTGCAAACTTAAACAAAGCACAAAAAAAGAAAAAAATATCGATATATCGATAATATCGAGTTAAAATGGTCGATATATCGGAATATCGATATTTTCCTGACTTCGATATAAATATCGATATTTTAAAAGACTTTGCATCCCTAGTGCTAACGCAGCGCTCGGCCGTAGGCATTTATTTGAAGGACAGGGCGGAGTCACAATACTGTATAGATAATATTACCGTGCCCCAGTCACGAATACTGGGGGGACTATATAATCTCTCCATGTGTACCTATTCAAAATAGGAATGTCATATGTGTAATATAATGTCATTCGATCATAGAGTTATATCACCGTCGATCAATCGAGTCATTTTTGATAACTTGCTATTATCAAGTAACAGTTTGACTTTACCAAAATGTTTCATGAAAATTTCATGAGTGTATTCTAAAAATCTTTATCAAAACCGGATCGCTTTAAGTCAAATCATCATAAAAATGACCTCCAGCCACGCAAGCGATCCCATAGAAAATTATCCGCCGACGGACCCGGCCTCGAGAAAAGTGATAAAATACCTGTTGGATAACCAGAATGGCGCTACTATCAACGAAATCCTGCAGCACTTACGCACGGAGTATAGTAGCACCAAGCAGGATCTCGACAAAGAGGTGGAGTCAATCTTGGCGAACGGTACGGCTTTAGGATTTCTAGAGAGGAAAGGGTCTGTGTATATGAACTGGGTGGCACGTGAGATGCGTGGTAAGCGTCGCCGTCGCAGTTGCAGTCGGCGCAGACGCCGTAAGATTCGGCGGCGCAGTTGTGGGCCTCAGCGCCGCCGCCGCCGTCACTGCTGATGACTATTCCACGAAACAGAGCAAATTTCAAACAAGGAGGTTCCCACACTGTTACCCAAAAGAGGGCAGAGTCAGTAAACTGCTTGTAACGATCTTTGTTGTAGGTTTTTTATTTATAAAGTTATGTATTGCTAAGTTATTTCAGGTTATTATATACAAAATATAATATAGGTACCTACGTTACTGTACGAAGTCGTTTGCTTATTTGGGAAACATGTGTGAACCGCTTTGAACTAAAGAAATGGGAGCTAAAATGTTCATTGTCATGATTTGGT